CCCCCCCCCCCCCCCCCCCCCCCCCCGGTCTTCACACCCTGTGCTCTAACAGGGACACGTCTTTAAATCCTTGTAGTCAAGACTGTGTTGCTTTTATGGAGAGGCTAGGTAGGAGTAGTAATGATCCCTAAGTAATGGGCTTCATCTCGTTTTAATTGTAATGAAGAAAAATCCACTACCGCCTTTATTTTATTTTATTTTTTTGTCTAACTAGCCTTTTTTTTTTTTTTTCCTGCAAGCCTCAGCTCAAGTCAGGCACTGTTCTCACAGAAATGTGTCACTCTTCTCAGCTTGTCCTTGGTACTGTGCCCTTCCTTCTATCTTTGTACGTGTGCTTTTCTAAGCCAAACATGTCGTGAAAAACAATAACTCCTTTAGATCTGTCCCGGTTGCCACCGCTCTGGGATTAGTCACGATTCAGTCCATCTTACAGGGCCTGCTGCCCCTCTGGAGTTTCTCCTCCTTCAGATTGCTGGGGCCAGCATTTTCTCTATATTTAGGAGAATCCCATGTCCTCACGGCTAGCCATGCCGTCTGTGGGTCCCTCTGTTTCGTGTCATGAGCCTTCCTGGTGAGAGGATGACAGAAGCCCGTGTCACTCCTCTCTCTGAGCCCATGTGGCTGGAGGTTCATACTTTGTATGTTTTTATACAGACAGGAAAAATATGAAATCTTCTAGTGTTAATGAAGGTGTTGACCATTGATCTGATTCTTATTTATTTATTTATTTATTTATTTATTTATTTCTGAGAGAGAGAGAAAGAGACAGAGACAGAGACAGAGACAGAGGGAGAGAGACAGCATGAGCAAGGGAGGGTCAGAGAGACAGGGAGATACAGGATCTGAAACAAGCTCCAGCCTCTGAGCTAGCTGTCGGCACAGAGCCTGACGCGGGGGTCGAACCCACAATCATGAGATCGTGAGATCGTGACCTGAGCCGAAGCCGGATGCTTAACCGACTGAGCCACCCAGGCGCCCCTGATCTGATTCTCTTGAAAGACATGCTTTCATCGCTTCACTCTGTTAACCCACTTTTCTAATGATGATTGGTTGGGCAAAGAGCCCTTTTTAGAAATAGTGTCCATGTACTTAGGATCAATAAATATTCAGGTCAGGCAGGTAATAAGGAATGCACATCTTATCCGTTTTCCTGGCGAGATTGTGCCAAAGGATTAAGACTGGGGAAATGTTGGCATTTAGGTTCATGCTCTCTAACTGGTCACCCTTACTCCATTTTACGTGGAAAAACAGGTTAAGAAACCTCCAAGAGGTTCGAGGACCCCTTAACTATATGGGGGGTGATGTGTCACAGCAGTCTTGACCCCTTGCTTCTCGGCTTCTCTCCTGTGGCCTTCCTCATTCTCCACACATGCCTTTCATGCCTGCAGTGCTGATAAGAGCAAGATAGTGGAAAAGAAGAAGAGGAACCAGGAGAGCGGCAAGGGTACAGAAAGCAGAGGCCCCTGGCACAAACAGGCACCCAGGGACCACTCACCCCCTCACCAGGAAATCAGATAAGAGCACCAGACCTCCTGGGGCTGCCCTGAGGCCCGAGATGTGAGTCCAGCTCAGGTACACGGTTGTGGTCCCTGATACATTACCCTGTTGACATGCAGTTGGAAGAGGCTATCTAAATACACCCCTCTGCAGAGTAAGTAAATTTCCACTTTCCATGATTGCAAAAGGGCTC